GGCTCACTGGCATTCTGACAAGGGGAAGAGAAGAATGAAAGGTGACATGATAGATATCCTTAAATATCTGAAGGGATGTCTTGTAGAACTACAGGCCCTGGCCCCAAATAGCATCCCCTTAACTCAGTGTTGGGGATCACAAAAACCTTGGCAATGGTTAAAGGACTCTGAATGCCACCTATACATTTACATGAATCTATTAGAAACAATATGCTTCAACTATACTTCATAAAAGAAAAATCAGCCTGTTTAGCAAGCTTTACAAATGCTGATTGATTTTCAATAAATGTTTGATTTTATACCAATTTTAAATGCCTATATACCAAAAAAAAAAAAACCTCAAAAAGGAGTCACAAGTGAGAAAAGTTTAAGAAGTCATGTTGTAGAAGATGGAGCAAACTGTTCTAGAGACTGAAACATGAACCAATGGATTCTTTTTTAAAGGAAATAGATTCCACCTTAACATTAGGAAGACCTTTTTTTTTAACTCTAAGAGGTTTTGATAGTGTAATAGATGGGTGGGGTGGGAGTGGACTTTCCATCTCTGGCAGTCTTTAAACAGTGGTTGAATGGTCATCCTTCAGTGCTGCTTTAGTTATGTATTCTTGCTTGGCAGGGGTTGGTCTAGATGGCTCATGTGATCCCTTCCAGGTCTATGATTCTGTGTTTCCTGTTCTGTACAGTATTTAGGAGTGAATCTCATAAGAAAACAACTTGGTAGTAAGTTTTTAAGAGTAAATTTACAGAAGATAAGTCAGTTAATCTCCTGTGTACATACTCTATCCAAATAGTGAAATATACCACTTTAAAGATCTCTGTACATGGAAGTTTCTGCATCCTATAGAATGTTATCAACAAGGCATTAGAATATGCAGCACACCGAAACTTCTTCCAACTATTCTCTGTGTTATGTCAGTCTTTTCTTTCTATCACCCTGGGCTTTGCTCCTTTCTTTTGGTAGAAAAGAGCAGTGAGCTTTCATCACTTTTCAGTTCATGGCTTTTAATTAAAAATGAAAAGACCATGTTAGCTCTCCTCCCCGTGCCCCGTTTTCTTCCCTGACCTGAAATTAGAGGGTGCCGCTCGCTCTTAGTGAAGCTCTGTGCTTGAGATCAAAGGAAACTCGTAGAATAGTCTAATGTCAGCATAGCAAAATCTGTGCCAGTCTGTCTCCCAGCTGCTGGATATCTATGAAACAGAGTGCCTGGGTATTTGGGGCAACAGAATGAAAAACAGCATGTAAACACAAGAGTTACTGCAGCAGTTGGGAAGTTTTGGAAGGATGTTTTTTAGCCTGTGCTTACTGTTTTTTAAAAAATAATTTCTTCAATAATGAAGAGCTTAATAATGCTATGCATTTGTAAACTAGGAAAATCCATCTCTCCTATGGCCGCCTAGATTGGTTTTATCAATGTAACAGCACCACCCACTATTTTATCTTTTTGAATCCTTATGTCCTGTACTTTAATGCTTCAATAGAAATAGCAATTAAACAGAAATTGCAGTACATGTTACAGATAGTAATTCTATTTTGCAACGTGTTTGTCATTTGGAGGATCGTTCCTAGTTCTTACAAAAGCAGTAGTAGAGCTTCTTTAAAACCAACACTTTCTTAAATGAAAAATGGAAATCCAGTCAAGGAAAAGTATGTTTTGTGCGTAGCTGGAGTTTGGCTAAAAACTTTTTGGAGTTCTGGGAGTAGTAGGGGATTCCAAGAATTAAAGTCCAAGGAGTAACTGTCATAAGCCATGTGGTAGGCTCTTGGGAACCAAGTCAAGCATCCTGCACTGCCCACAAAGAAGAGACCCAGTGACAAAGCATACTATAACTGCACTTACATTTTCCCACATGTATATGTACTTTATGATTTATGTAATTCTCTGTGTGTTATGGGCAGTAGCTTTGAGATCATGTGAAGGGTGGTTTATTGGAAAAAACTGTGTGAAGGACATTGTACTCAGTTGTTAATTTTCTTACAAAATTGAAGCTTCCCATTCTTTATGTTGATTTTGAATAGCTGAAAATGTCAGATAGCTTTGCGAGGCTTGCAACAGATGAATTTGAGATTTTCTTTCTGTGGATGATTGCATTTTGAGCAAAGCTAGCAGAAAGACTAGAGAATTATCTCTACAAGTGGATATTGTTCCCCTTCATGCTAACAACTGAGTCAGTCTAACAACTAGACTTAATGGATAATTTGACTTGTTCCCTGTGGAATTTTTTCACAAATTCTGTAATTGTCAAGGACACAAATGTGAAGTGCTGTAAGAACAGTTAAAGGTGAAGGAAGAGCAGCATGCTATAGGAAGGCTTGGAGATGTAGGAATCAAAAGATGAAAGTGTTTACTTTTTAGGAAGATTGTGCACAGCAGATTGGGTTTTTGCCACTAAAATGTTCTACCATTCTAAAGCATGAAGAATATTATGAACTTTATCAAATCATTGGAATTCATCCTATCACTGTTAAACCTAGTGTAGAATACATCATGTAAGCCAATGAAAACTTAGAAGAATTGAGTGGAAAATGTGGAAAGGTACAGTGGAAATTGAGTGGCAAGGTAGAGTGGTTTACAAATTGTGACTACACTGGATGTTGTCTCCAACCATCTTTGCTAGTAAATAATTTGGTGCTGGTCAGGTAGACATTCAGGATACATAAAATGTTTTCTGCATAAGAGCCACTTTTCCATAGTGCATCTTTAGTAGAGACAATGGTATTACAGTGATATATATATATGACACAAGAAGAAAAGTAGTAAATGTCCAGGTAAATGTTCAACAGGTTTCACTCCCCCAATTACTAGTTGTGTGTACACAGTTCAGGAGGTGTGATCCAGAAAATATATATATATATATATATATATATATATATATATATATATATACACATACATACACACACATATATAGGAAGATGCTATGATTAAAAACTATGCATGTTGGAAAATGCTGAGATTTTTGTTGGAATAGTGGAAAAAAGAATCAAATCTTTGGCCTCTTCAGGACATTGAAATCCTGAGACCTTTCCCTGTTCCATTGACTTATAGCCTTTTTAATGAATTTTGAACATGACAGTAAAGTTTTAGTTATGGGACAAGGTCAGAATGTTAATGTCACTAAAGCATTGCTGCATTTGCTTGTGCTGTGAACAGTTGCCTGGATGTGATAGCAACTTTCTGTAAGTGTGTGGGAGTATGATGGCCTGCAGAGTGCTGTCTTTATGGCTTTTCACTGAATAGTTTCAACAGAAACATGACTCAAAGTGTGTCTGTAATATGTTGTTACATCCATTCCATACTGCTTTGTCATGCTTCTGTGCTAAAGAATGATGACATTGGTAGTGAAATGCTTGAAAGAGTCTTCACTGAGAAGAGAAGTACTCAGGATTAAATCAGTTTAATTCTGCAGTATAGACAAGCACTCAGAATGCCTTAGGAGTAGGATTTCAGGAAAGTTGACGAGATCTTTCAAGTGAGTTCTAAGCACACTCCACAAAATTACAAATTCCAGAATTCCTTAGGATGCCATGATTCTTTAATTAGCATGAGAAAAATATAACCATGGTATAGATAGGCTTCAAGTCATTCACCAGCCTCTCAAGGAGATCAAGGGTGGGATTTTTCCAAAATTGGAGGCACCTCGGGACTAGATGGTACTGCTTTGATTACTCAAATCTTAACTAAACTATTGCTTCCCCTGCTGTCACTAAGGATAATAGTAGTCATATGGTTTTGCCCTAACCCTAACCCTAACCGCCCCCCCCCCCCCGGTCTGATTAATGGAGACACTTTTTTGCAGTGTGAACACTCAGGCACATAGACAGAGAGATGCTCCCTGAATTCAGTGTGCTTTCAGTAATTGCCTTGAACACCTGCCTGTCCAAGATGACACAGTCACATGATCCAAGCAACTATTATGTCTTTTCAAGACAAATGTTTGGGAAGATAAAAAAGTGTGCTTCTTATAGCTTTTTTAAAAAGCCTTAGGAATATCCATCTTGATTTGAGAACCACCAGGTTTTAATTCTTTCTTTTTTTTTACTTAAGGAAACAGCAATCCAATTGAGCATTTCAGGAAGAAGAATGGAAATATAGATTGGTGCTTTGTAACCTTAAATATCCTCTCCACATCCTATCCTCTGAAGAAAATTGTTGTGCTTGATAGATGTTTTGGAATCATCTATGAGGTGTGGCGGAAAGGGCCTAAAAAATTCCATATTGAAGGTCAAATCAGTGCTTGACTTCAAAAGTTATGGATGATGGCAGTAATTATTCAACTTTGTGGAGTAATGGGAGCCATTCAAACTGGGATAAAGAAGCACTTGGATCTTGATCCGATCCTCCACCTACATTTAAATCAAGCCAGGCAGTCACTTTGTGTCCAGCCAAAGACAAATACACCAGCGTTATGACAATTTATGTGAAGCATGAATGTTCTTGTTGGTACCAGGAAACTAGCAGTCAGATAGGTCTGGTCTGTCATTTACACCATATGCTGTGGGGTTGCTGTAGGCTTCACAGAATTTGGCTCTTCAGTAGCATATCACATTGAAATTAATGGAGACTTATCTCCAAATTAAGATTTGTGTGATCCTTTGGAAACTACTTCAGGCTTATAGTATATTTTAACATAATTATTTGCTGCAAACGTTCAAGATAGTTGAAGCAAATACAGATAAATCCAGTTAATTTAAACAGTATCTAGTTGAGCTAGTGGGTCAGTGGAACGCACAGAGAAGGGCCCAGTCTAGCCGATGGCTACATAAGCAGTGAGAAATGCCAAGGATAATGCTTGCGTACTTGTATTGCTGCAGGACTTGTTTGAAATGAGTTCATGATTCACATCTGTGAAAAAAAGAGAGGACCAACAAAAGTACCATAAAGAAACATGTAAATAACCAGTATGGTTGAGTATGAAGCTAATTGTAAGAAAAATATAACTGAATATGCTTCTAATCAATTCTCTCCCTCTTTCTCTGTTTTCTTCTTTCTTTTTTGCAGGGCTTGTGAAGTTGGGGGTGCATTGTGTAACATGTCAAAAGGTCGCTATAAAAATTGTCAACAGAGAGAAGCTCAGTGAGTCGGTGCTAATGAAGGTAATTTTCTAATGGAGATGTGTGGGGTGGGAGAAAAGAGTCTCGACACAATGTCTTCTGTTCCATGCAAAATTAATATCTTTAATTATGTTTAACAAACATCCCTGTCAATGTTAGAATTGTGCTTTGCATAATAAATAATACTAATATAACAATAATTCAGGAGTGGGGGAGTGGTGATTGGAATTAAAGTGGAGTGTGTATATGTTTTAATTAAGAGCAAAAATGAATGTCCGGTTGTGGCACAGTAATTGAACACAGAGGAGCTGATGTCTAAGCTTGGCTCATCTCATTTGCACTTGCAGAATGGGATTGGTCTGGCTGCATTGCTCTGGTAGATATGAGTTTCTCAGTCTGCTCTGTAATCATTTATGTACAGAATGCCTAGAGCTGAAACTTTCTTCATCGCAGGTAGCAAAGTCTTCTGGGTTTGTCCTTGCTGTGAGGATTCTCTGAAATGTGATCTCAACTCATTGAGAGATATTAACATACGTAAAGCCTAGACTTGGCTCCATGAAGTTGAAAGGGAATTTCTAACTATGGTGATATTGTACAGTAGAGATGAGCAGGGTAGTAACTGGATAAAATAAATGTTCATGATTTTTATGGCATGCTATTTTCATGAAGTGTTGCTCTTTATTGGGTGCGTCGGGAGAGTATATCTCCCTAAGACAGTGGTTCTCGACCTTTGGGTCCCCAGATGTTTTGGCCTTCAACTCTCAGAAATCTTAAAATCTGGTAAACTGGCTGGGATTTCTGGGTGTTGTAGGCCAATACACTTGAGGACCCACAGGTTGAGAACCACTGTCCCAAGACAACCATGTCAAAAAAAAAAAACCAGGATTATATGGAAGTGTAGACTCATATAATCAAGTTCAATGCAGTTAATCTGTGTTCTGAAACTGCATTATATTCAACCTCAGAGGACTCTATGCACATCTGGGATTTGAAAGCACTGCTTTTCAGGTAGTGTTCAAATATTTAGATGTGCTGATCTATTATAGCATAAAAAGACATCAGATTACATGTGTTGAAGTGGACTGTAGTCAATAAAATATTGTGTTCGCATTTAAAAAAAAACAGGATGGCCTATAAGAGACAACATTTTCCCCAATGCACTTAGGAAGTACCCCTTTCTTTATGCTTTCTTATACATAAACATCTTCTAAAGTTTGGTTAAAGGCAGAATCATCTGTGCAGTTGAATGGGAAACCTGCTTGATTTCCTTGTTCAGATTAGTATTTGACTTTCCATGATACACTAGTGAGAATATCATTTACCCGTGGATGAATGAAATATTTCTAATGTCAGGAAGATTTCGATGCAGTCTATTGGAGAGGTTCAAAATGAGCACTGTTCAATCAATAGCAGTGATTACTATGCTCTCAAATACTTTAAAATATTTTAAATTATGGAGCGAGGAAAAGAAAGCATATCTTTATCTGCATCCCTTTCACTGTTTAATTATAGCATATATTTTGTACATCCTGTCAAAATGCCCAGGCAAATGCTGCATTTATTAAGAAATCAGTGATGTCATGTCACGTTACTTTTTTAAAAAATTGCATCAAACTTGAATTGTGAACTCTGGTAGTTTGCAGCTTGGGCATAAAATGATAACTTGGGGAGGTTGTTTTCAAATAAACCAGAGAGCAAATTGGAAGGATAACAGTTTTAGGCTTAGTGGTGTGACATGTCAATATATCAATATTATCTCAGTCTAAATATGACATTTCATCTCATTCATAATGTTTTGGGTATACATCTAAAACATGAATGAATTGGCCACCCAGTCTTCTATTTTAATGAGAGTCTTTGGAGTTATTTGTGCCAGGTACAAGTGTACTGTCTACCAGGAAGAATGTGTATATATGTGCCTTCAAAGCACCTGTTGATTTATGGCAATCCCATGAATATTGTAGGGTTTTTAAAGGCAAGTAACACTTAGAGGTGCTTTTACCAGTTCCTTCCTCTGAAATAATAGTCTACAGCACCTGGTATTCTTTGGTGGTCTCCTATCTAAATTCTAACCAGGGCTGATCTGACTTAGCTTCCATGATCAGACAAAATCCTTTAAATCCAAGTCCTTGTTCTCTCCTGCATTTGTTGGTCTTTGGTAGTGCTTAACCGCTTCCCTCCTCTCTTTTTCATCTAGCCAATCTCTAGAGTTGCACGTGTGTCCATACAGCTAAAGCTTCATTTTTTAAAAAATAAATAAATAAAGTGTATTGAGGGAAATGGCTTTTTTTCTCTGCAGCTGCTCTTCATTTGAGCTGTGTAGAATTGAGAGGCATTTGGTAAAGTGCTTTCTAATCATAATGTAATACTATCAATATTTCTGGAGAGAATAATTCAGAATTGAAGCAGCTGGTCTCAATTAACAGAACTGCTGCTGTGGAGATGATACAGGGACAAGCAGAGTGGAGAATGAAACTGCAATAAATGTGTCATTTGAGTCTGCATCCCCTTATCCAAGGGACTGGATTGTGAGTGGATTGCAAAGTGTAGGCATATGGATTATTCTCAGAGTGTCCATTTGGGCATCCTAGGCTCTTACATTCAACACTTTTTTGCACACTTTTGAGATAGTTCTGAGTGTTATTTCAAAGAATGAAGCCAAATGCCTGCTCTAATACCAGCATAGAATAGTCAAATAAATTTGTAATCCTGGTCTTATTATGAGTTAGTAGAGCAACAGACTTGTCGGGCATAAATTATTCTTTCATTGAACAGGTCAGGCTGCCTTTATCCAAAATGCAAGGGACCAGATGTGTTTTGAATGTTGGAATATCTATGTTGCATACATAATATCTTTGAGGTGAAGCACATGTCTGAACACAGCATTAATCTATGCTTCATATATACCTTTTTAAAAATATTTTTATTAAGTGGATTTCTGCTTTTGTATACATAAAATTGGGGTAGAAAAAGGTAAATCATAGGTTAAAAGGTTAGGTTGGGATATAGATAGGTAGTGGGTAGTATGCCTCTACAAGGGAGGGAATGGATGTATAAGGAAGGTCAAAGGGAAAAGAGGGGTGGTGGTGAAGGGAGTTTTGTTGACTTTCAAATCTCCTCCGTGACTTATATACCTTGTACACATAGCCTGAATGTAATTTAAAACAATACCTTTGATAACTTTATGCATGAAGGGAGGTTTGTGTACACTGAACCATCAGAAAGCAAAGGTGTCACTATCCCATCTAACCATGTGGACAATTCTCCATCTTGAAATATTTCAGGTTTTTGGAATTCTGTATAAGGGATGTGCAACCTATATCTTGTGTTTTGATTTATTCTCACCTCAGTGCAGATTCTGATGAGAAACCTGCCAGCCCATCTATCTATCCCTGGAATAAGTAAATGATTAAAACAGTTGACAGGATTGACAGTTTTGGATTCTGGAGTATTTTGGATGTGGAATGCTGGATAAGAGGTGATCCAACATGTGATAAGAGTTTTCTTCGGTTTAGAATTGTTTCTCTGGTGTGGAAATTCCATAAGCCCAATATTTGATTGGTAATGCAAGGAGGGCTGTATTCTGGTTCTGAAGTGAGTGGTGAGATGGAGAGTAGCAACAAGCAGTCTTGTTGTCAATCTAAGAATGTAAGCCTTCATAAATTTAAGTCTCACTGGCAAGAATGAAAAATTACATAATTTTTCTCCTCTCTGTAAAAAGGTTGTCAAAACTAAATTTATTGGTTCATTTGTGGTTGTAAACAGAAGTATATGTGGTTTTTGTTGTTTTGTGCAGAAAGGCTATTTTCTGGTATAACCATTTCCATTTTCTTTTCATGGAACTCCTTGTCTGAACAGAAAATGTCATTTTATGCACATGCACATCCACATGCAGGAAAGGTATTTGACGGTGAAGATTGTCACCTGTCTAGGGTTCTCACCCTCAGGTTTCATGACACTTGAGAAATTCCGTTTTATTTTTCCAAATATTTTTTCAAGTCCTAGTCTGCACATGAGCAGGACTGATGTTCCCTCAGTGTTCCTTTGAGTAGAAGTGACAAGTGCTACTGTCAGCACCACCATTTTTCTACCCAGATACTGAAAATACCAGAAGTATTTCCCTGAGAAAGGAAATAGAAGAGGTAAAGGTATTTTGGTGTTTATTTATACTGAAATTCCTAGACTTCTATACATATATACATTCAACAGTTCTTTAGGATCCCAAATTTACCATTTGCTGCAAAGGGATGGTGAACTTTATCAATGGAATCTTTATGTGCTCTAAACTACCTGATATCTCACTTAACATAAATACATCACCATTACAGATTTTCAGCTTTGGAGAGCCTTGAATTCAGCTGGTTGCAGCTCAGAGCAACCAATGAGTACCTTCATCATATCATTGTTCTAGTTTTCTCCTGCCCTTATTGTTTACCATACTTGAGTTATGTGAAGGAGGCACGGAGTAAGAGTTATGCTTTGAATGTGCCGAAATGTATATTTTGGAGCCTGGGGGCCATTTCATATAGTCCCTATATCCCAGGATCTGATCCCAGGTTTTCTGCTTTAAACTAGATTACATGAATCCCCACTGCCAGATAATCTGGGATAAACAGGAAACCTGGGATCAGATCCAGGGATATAGGGCCTATCTAGAAAGGCTTTGCCATGCCTAGACAGAGGTTAGAAGCAGGACATTATTATAGGTGTAAGTAAAGAGTTGTTCCAGGGCCACAAGAAGCATCCGAAAGCCGTTTTGAAGCTATCCCCTCAGACTTTCTAGACTGCCATTTTTCTGACCAAAAGTTGATGTAAATTCTTCAAAGGGATTCACCTTTAAAATAGGTTGCAAGACTCTCTTCCCAGTTTTTGAAAAATTATACTAATTTCTCAAAACCAGAAATAGATTTCAGACTGGTTTTGTATTCTTGCCCTTTTGCATTTTTTTTGTCTGTCTTGCAGCCACTAGAGAAGAGGTCCTCAGCGTTAAGGGCTAGTTCACAATTTACCGAATTGTTGCGGAGCAGAACTGCAGTTTGAAA